AGAGAGAGAGAGAGAAAGAAAGAAAGAAAATATAAAAATCCAATTATAAACCCAAGATAAAAATGTTACCTTGCAAAATCAGGTGTTCAACTGACTTTTATTTATGTAAATAGTTATGGTATGTAGATAGTGCTTTCCTATACAAGGCATTTATCACATATTTTCTTAGCATTCCTCACCAAAAAAACCCCATGGTATGTAGACAGTGCTTTCCTATACAAGGCATTTATCACTTTTCTTAGCATTCCTCACCAAAAAAACCCCTAGAAGGTAAGGACTGTATTACTGATGGGAGGTCAGGGGTTCACACAAGACTCTTCCATTTGTGCATTTGCTGTATTATGCTAGCATTCAGGAATCCTACTTATGGTATACCTCCATAAATTGGAACTGCCTAGATGTACATAATTATTATTATTGTTTAAGTATATGCGGGGAAAATGACACAACTTCCTCCCCTTTTACTTACACTTCCAATTCACTCAGTACTGTCCGCTTCCGGGTCCCATGCCCAAAGACTGGCACCTCTTTCATCCATACATCAGGCTCCAAGGTCTGTATTCTGGCCTCTTGATGGGTCTTCCCTTCTCCCCATGGCACAAATCTCCCATGGGCTCCTAGGAAAGAAGCAGCTAGTGGTGTGACCAGTTTCTAGTTTGGAGATGTGGCAGCCACTGCATGACTAGCCAACGATTCTCACTCTCAGGTTATGAATGCCTCCCCTGAGGCACTGTTAATACTGTGCTACCTGAAAACCACTTCAGGAGACCCACCTTGGGATGCTGTCGTTATCACCTCCAGTACACTCACCTGGTCCAATCCCAATATACTGACTGCCCTGCCAATAGGAGAGGTTGTGGGTACTAAATGCGCCCTGGAGGAAGAAAACAAAGCATAGCATAAACCATTAAGGGACTGGTAGTCTTGGAAAAAAAGCTTGCACGATACCATCTGACTTTCCTAAATATCCTTAAATAAATATCAGAGGGCCCAACAAGAAAGTTTGTTTAAATCTCAGTTGTCTTGTTCATTGTAACAGTTCTGGGTAGCTTGGCTTGGCTTTTTGCAAGGGGCAAACAGAGCAGCAGGAGCAGGAGGAGGCAGAAGGAGGGGGATCAGACCTTTAAGAGGAAAGCAAATCACCTCCCTTTGCCCTCTCCTGTCTGCTCACGGTTGCTCTGCTTGCCCCTTGTACAAAGCCATGCCAAGCCATGCTGCACACAAACACACACAAAGAGGCAGAGAAACACACAGACAGCTGAATAAGGTAGGCTCTTGATTGGCCCTTTAAAAAGAAAGGAAAGAAAAGCTCCTGGGAGGAAGCTTTCTATTTATCTTTTTAAAGGGGCACCAAAGTGTATTGGGGCACCAAATATTTGCTGCCCTAATACACACTTCATTTTGTTTTCACTTCCTCCGCCCCTCTACAGGGAGGGCCAAATCTTAAAAGAAGGCTGCTATGGACCAACAGGATCGCTTGAGGTCCATATGCTATCTGTATGTCAGGATCACAACCAATGGCATACTTGACCTCCTACTGACCCTGTTTTGCCCAATCAGGTCTGCCCTTCCCTGACTGTCTAGACAAGCCCTCTATTCCTTTTACCTGTGTAGCAGGAAGATATTCTTCCTTCTCTCCTATACACAGGCAACATGTTTATTTCAATACCATGTACGTATTTCTAAGTTGCTTTATTTCACTTAGGTTGGACACCACAGGGTCCACCCAAAAGAAAAAGACTTACATTCCTAGCAAAGTTGGAGACCTCATACTGATGAAACCCTGCATTCTTCAGCGTGTGCCTTGCACACTCATACATCTCTGCTACTACATCTGGATCAGGCAAGGACAGGAAGCCCTGCTGGACCTGTTTGAAAAGAGATGTGCCTCTCTCCAGGGTCAGTTGGTAGAGAGAGATATGGTCATCACACACTGCAAGCATCTCCTCCAAATTCTGCATCCATAAGGCAACCGAGTGGCCTGGGATGCCAAAGATGAGGTCAACAGATATTCGGCCTGAAAAGAGTTTCTTGGCTTCTTCGAAAGTTCTCAGACCATCACAAACAGTGTGGTTCCTTCCAAGGAGCTTCAGTTCTGAATCGTTCAGTGACTGCAGGTGAGAAGATAAATGCAGTTATCTTTGGTTGACAACAGCACAGGTTGAATTGAGTAATGACTGATGTGAGGAAGGATTAAAACAGCATTACAGGATGCAAACACTTGAAGTTAAGGAGCAGTAAGAACCAATTTGTGCAAGAGAAGATTAAAGAGCCTGAGAGCCAAACTGCAATTTACATGGGAAATTCCTGACTAGTCCTCTAGAACTGAAATTCAGGCAACTACAGAAGTGATATAAGCAGATGTATATTTAAACCTTTTTCAATCAAAATCACTCAACCCAATTCCTATTTCCTTGCTGTCTCCTGCCAAATTTACAGCACATTCCTGTTCATGTTCATTACACTAACTTCACTGAAGTTACAAGCCCTCCATTCAGAGCACGTTACCATAGCCTCTCGAGACTGAAGGATGTCTAATCTACTGAAAGTAGAATTTGCTAGGTTATCTTTGTTTTCAAACTATGAGTAAAGTAGAACAGATTAGATGATTCTTGGCTCTGTTCCAGCTCTACAAACCTATGAAAGCAGAGGTGCTTGGAATTGGCATCGAACCACTCTAAATATAAGGCGGTCCACTTCTATCAAGAACATTTTTACCGGAGCACTCACTTCAGACTAAAGGAAAGGAACATTCTCATTTTATTACCTGGATACCAATGGAAAGCCTGTTGACACCTGCTTTCTGGAAATCGGCAAGGCGCAAGGCATCTGCTGATGCGGGATTGGCTTCTAGTGTTATCTCGGTGCCTTCTGCTAAATAGGCATATTGAGAGATATTGTCCAAGACAGCAGCAATCGTGAGTGGGCTGGCTAAGCTCGGTGTCCCTCCACCAAAAAATACTGACGTGATTCTGCAAAGCCAAGGAAAGAAATGAGGGTGCATACATGAAGACGCCAGTGTGGAACCAAGTCTGTCTCTATCAGGTTTTTCACACAGATTGTGTTTATCATGAGGCTTCTAGTCGTCTGAAAGAATTCTCTTCCTCTTCGGGACTATAGTGGAGCTAGTGGTAGAGAAAGCCAATAACACAAACATTCCAAAGTGGTAGACCTCCCAGAAATCTCTTCCTCCTTTAGTTGTAACATTTGTCTCTGTCTGCCACCTTCCTACTCTTCTAAGCCTCCCAGCTATAAAATGTGATTCTTAGACATCTGTCGTTTTTCCACTCGCATATTGCCTACCTCTGAACTTGGCTGAGTTCGATCAAGGTCCGAGCCTCCTGAATGAGGCAGTTTCTCATTCTAGTCTCATCAAGGTTTCGGGGGATGTACTTGTTGAAGTTGCAGTAGCTGCAGCGCTTCTCACAGTATGGCCACTACGAGTGCAAAGAAGAACGAATTCTTGTTTTCTGCATTGGAATTCAGCACCATTTATACCTTGCCAGAAGACGAAAACAAACCCACTCACTAAAACAGGTAACATGAAAAGAGATTTAAGCCTGTGCCTTCTTCTGCAGCTATATGGTACACATGAGGAAATGCACAACAGGACTTCAGCTGCTGTGCAGTCTACACTGCCGTGTTTTACAGAATAGCTTGAGAGTGCTGCAAATAATATGAGGGAGGCATCCACTTGCTGTATCACAATGCTCCCAAAGGCAAAAGGAGACATCCGTCATTAGTACTGTATTATTTTTCTGTCTCATAGCACCAGAGCAGACCTGGGCAAAGTGCGGCCCACAGGCCATGTACGGCCTGCGAGCTGCTCCTGTCCGGCCCGCCCGTCGCCACTGAGTGAGCCGGAACTCCGGCTCCAGTCACCCAGCACGGCAGGAAGCAAAACTCGCAAGATCCAATGCTGGGATCTCACGCGTTTTGACTGTTACCCTTGAGCTGCAGGCTGCGGAGGCCAGAATCGATCTTTGCGCAGCTGACGTGATGACGCATCACGGCGACTACACTGGATATAAGACAGTTGGAGTGGAAGGCCGCGGGGGAACGGCGGACAGGTGAGTTAGCTCAGTGTTGTTGTTTTCTTTCCCCCCCCCGCGGTGAACAAATTACAGCGCTCACACAGTTAACTCCCTAAAAAGTTTAGGGAGTTAACTATGTCAGCCTTGTAGTTCGCAGGGCCTCACCCAATGGGGACCTATTCCTACCCACAAACTGGGAGCCTAATACTACCCACCTAATGGGGGCCTATTTTTAAGTAAAGTTGGTTCGGCCCCTGAACATAGTTCAGATTTTTCATGTGGCCCACTCTAGAAATTAATTGCCCATCCCTGGACTACAGGCAGTTGCTTTTTATCTCTCTTCTGGTTTTAGACTGGATGGCTCTGAATCATCCATGTTGAAAGGAAGACTCTCAAAACAAAGCCCCTGTTAAGCCAGTAAATTATTTTGAAGGTTGCATGCCAGGCAGTTTTCTTCTTTCGACTAAGGGCTGGATAGAGATAACCCGGGGCACAAGCCACCACAAAGAAGAGCAATTCTGTGTTACTTCTGCCTCTCGTCCAAGAAAGCAACATACAAATAGTCCACTTGTACCCAGAACAGAACCATGAGGTGGCATGCTAACTTGTTTGCCTTCCTTCCTAGGAAGAGATAAATTCAGAACTCTGACACAGCTTCCAGAAGAATAAATGCTATATTTAGCTGAAGGTAATTTGCATTGTGTACAGTATTACATAATATCATGTCACAAAAAGTAGAAGGAGGCTACTAAGAGCTTGATACAGGACCTATGAACATTTGTTTTCTTTTAAAAGTGAAAATTTCTTATTCCTTTGGCTGGGAAAGTCTGCCTCTGCTTAACAGATGGAAATATTTGGCTAGAGCTTTTTGTGCTGTATAAGGATGGGATTCTTTCACTTCTAGTATTCACTTCTCAACAGGAACTGTTTACTGGAAGGACTTGCCCCAAGAAGTTTAAGAAGCTTATTTAGTGGCTAAATTGTTGTAAGAAGTTCTAATAAATGCAGTACAGTATCTAGGATGCTAAATGCCACAGGTTTGAAATCAAGCTTTAAGATTCAGTCTCTGGTTCAACTTAATGTCAGATATTTTGTTTTGATTAAACAACGTCATTATGCCAGGAAGATAATTTCTGGTTTTGTTTAAATGTTGCCTCATTAACACTGGATACTAGATTTCAACTAAGGCTGATGATGCTGTCTCTGCTGGGAAAATTGTTATCACTGGAGACTTGCTTTTGAATGCCTGCTCAGTGCTCTTGCCATGAATTTTGCCCCTTCAACTCTGTTTAATGTACAGTGGTGCCTCACATAACGAGCACACCGTACAACGACGAATTCGCATAGCAATCCCTTTTTTGGGATCGCTAATGCGAAGGCATACCAGCAGCCCCAATGGGCAAAACTCGCATTGCGAAGATCGGTAAGCGTTTCGCTTACCGCTCTTCACATTGCGATGTCGGGAAATCAGCTGATCAGCGGCTCCAAAATGGGCACCGCACGACCCAAAATGGCCGCATGCAGCGCGGCTCCAAAATGGGCACTGTGCGACCCAGAATGGCCGCATGCAGCGTTTTCGCGCCCAGCCCTCGCTTACTGGGAGCGCGAAAATGGCTGCCATATGGGGGAAACTTCCCTAAACGGTGAGTACAGAAGCCATTGGAACGCATTAAACTTAGTTTAATGCGTTCCAATGGCATTTTGCGTCCCGTTTAGCGATGTTTCCCCATAGCGACGGTTAATCTGTACTGTCTATTTCTTTACTGAACAGGCCACCTCCATCCAAGGGCAGCTCTATTACTGTCCATTTCTTTACTGAAGAGGCCACCTCCATCCAAGGGCAGCTCTATCTGCCTCCTTTCTCCCTACCTAAGTGCAGCTGACAAGAGGCAGAAATGGTGTTGCAGACCGACAGGTGTAGAAATCAACATTGCTGCTGTCTAAGTGTTGAGAAGCATTTGTTTGCTGTCTGGAAAAATGCTTGTTTTTGTCCCTCAACATCTTTGCTTACAATCACTTGTCTTCCAGAAGACAGTCTAAATAAGACCACAGCTTATCCCAAAAGATATACTGGTAGCATCCAAATAAAGCCCTGATAGTTTGCTGCTCCCGTACAAATGAGGGCTGGTAAAACTGGCCTTTCACCCTAAACAGTCTAGTTAGAAGCATCTCTCCCAGTGGTTAAGGGTTGGATCCTGCTTTGTCTTTTGAAGGTTGCAATTCCCAGAAATTCCAGGTGGGGTGCTTAAACATACAGTAAATGTAGTTTTCTTGCTGTACCTTACACATTTACGTTCCATGTCAGTGAAAGCAGTTTTTTGCCACAATCTTTCTGGTTTTTTTTTTTTTTTTGTCCACATTTGAATCCCAAATGACTGCCCCATCCTCACTGAGTTTTTACGGCTGAAATGCAGCTATTCACGCAGAATCACCTTTCAAGTCCCCACATGTTTCCTCAGGCAAGGGTTCATTAATGCAAGAACTCTGAATCCCAGACTTCTTCATCCAATGCTGACCTAAAACCTGAACCCATAATGCAAGAACTCTGAATCCCAGACTTATTCATCCAATGCTGACCTAAAACCTGAACCAGAGCCCAGAAACCCTGACATGCTATGTTGCACCGTGGTTGGTTTTGTGGCTTCTTCCTTACAAAAGGGTCCCTGACCAGCTCCCCCATCCCCCCCAACACACACACACACCCTTCTGAGCACAGAGATTTACAAAACGTAGACACTGTCGTGCACAAACGTCTGTCAGACTTTTCCCTGCAGGGGCTCCAAACCTTTATCTGTTTTGGACTTCAACTCCCAGAATCCCCATACGGTGGGAGCTGTAGTCGAGAACCCAAGGCTCGTCATCCAAATTCCCCTGGCACCTCTCTGAAAACTACCAGAGTATCTTGGCTGAGATGGGGGGAGGGGAAACCCCGCACATTTTATTCAAGTTATTCAGTCATGATTTTGCGACGGGGGAAGCAGGGAATCAACCCGCCAAGAAATACAAGGGGAAAGTCCCGAGTCCCTGCGTCCTTCTCCCTTCCTTCGGAGGCGCGGAAGGTGAAGGCCAAGGACTTCTCCAAGGCCCTCCTCGGCACACTTCCACCTCCAGACTTTCCGTCAAGGGGTGAAAAGAACTCAGGAGGCGGGAAGGGGGGAGAAGGGTTTTAGTTCTGGCAAACAACGTCTGCCGCTTTTCACCCTCCCGAAGACGCCTCGCTTTGGGGACTACAACTCCCAGAATTCCCCAGGAAGCGCAACCTCGGTTCATTTCCTCCTGTGATTTCTGGGAATTGTGGTCCAACAGGGAATCATGGGCGTCTTTGCACCACACGGCGCCTGCGCGAGAGTTGAAGGCCTCACGTGGACGTAGAGAGCCGCCGCCTGCTTCTCCTCGCGGGGCCGGCCGGAGTGTTGCGTCGCCGCGAGTCGCTTCGGTGGAGACCATCTTGGTTTCGGCCACAGGGCGCCAGCAAGGCCAGCCCGCGTTCTCGGTAATAATAGGCCCAGGCAGCGCAACCTCGGTTCATTTCCTCCGGTGAATTCTGGGAATTGTGGTCCAACAGGGAATCTTGGGCGTCTTTGCACCGCAGGGCGCCTGCGCGAGAGTTGAAGGCCTCACGTGGACGTAGAGAGCCGCCGCCTGCTTCTCCTCGCGGGGCCGGCCGGAGTGTTGCGTCGCCGCGAGTCGCTTCGGTGGAGACCATCTTGGTTTCGGCCACAGGGCGCCAGCAAGGCCAGCCCGCGTTCTCGGTAATAATAGGCGCCGGCTCCCCATGCCGGTCCCTCTTCCCTCCGCCCCGGGCGGCGTGGGTTCCGCCTCGGCGGCGGCGACGGCAGCGGGAGAAGGCTCCTCCTTGCACCCGGGGGTGGGGGTGGGGAAGGGGAGGGATGGTCAGTGCGGTTGAAGCGGGCCTGCCCTCTTCCCTCCGGGCGGCGTGGGTTCCGCCGCGGCGGCGGCGACGGCAGCGGGAGAAGGCTCCTCCTTGCACCCGGGGGTGGGGGTGGGGAAGGGGAGGGATGGTCAGTGCGGTTGAAGCGAAGCGGCCTTGCGGATCTCTGCTGCCCCCACCGTCGGGAAGAGCGAGCGAGCGGGCGCCCGCCCCTCCCGTCCTGCCGGCTACTGC